GTTTCCAATGCTCAATTTTACCCATCTATGAAATGGGGATACTAATATTTGCAGGGGATTGGTTTGAGAATCAAATGAGGCAATGTGAAACACTTTGTATTCATAGTACAAAGGTCAATGTGAAAGTGTAATAATGAAAGTTCAAAGTTGTGGGGAGGTTCAAGGTTCTGAAGGGAGCCCTTTCCCAGCGTGTCTCCTGGCCCACCTCCCTGATTTCCTTGACTATTTATTTATGCTATATTTATCTCCCGTCACAATCCTTCTGATTATGTCAGCAGGGAGATGATGGGTTGGGCCAGTTTATTGTAGGGCCTTGAGCTGTCATTTGAAGGAGAAGGGGAGAAAGCACTAAGTGAATGGAAGGGGTCTGGTTTTCATAGGAAACTTTATATGGAGGCTTAGGGTTAGGGAAAGTGAGGACCAGGGGGATGGGGCAACAAGGCTTGCATGGCCACCTCAGCTGGACAGGACTTAAATCAGGTGACAAAAATAGAATCAGGGACCCACACGGACCATTAGAGGTTGTGCTGGCGCCACTTTAGTATTTGACTGTGGCATTTGATATCTCAGCTGAAATGTCAGTCATTCAGTGTAGAGACATATCCTTGACATAGGTCATGGACAGGCAACCAGACTTAGTAGCTCCAACAACACTAAGAGAGAAAATGACACTAGATTCAGGCTCAATTATAAAACAAAATGAACAAAATGCCAATTAACTGGGGCTCATACTATAACTTTAACTTGGACTGCAAGTAGGCAGTAAAAACATCCCCAGCAACTAAAAATATGAAATGTTGTCTTTCCTGCCTCTCCTCTGTTCATAAAGAAATGAAATCAGCATCACTTTGTCTCAGGTGATGGTCTGAGAGCTGAAGAGGTTAAGTGATTTGTCTACAGGCTCACTAAGAAATCCATATGCCTTAGATGTAGAAGGTCTTTAAATGAGCTCACAAATGAAAAAGGGGACTAGAAGTGAAAGGGTAACAGAACAATCAAAGCTGAATGCTGTGGAAATTATGGCCAACCTTAGCCCCAAAGAAGAGATAGGAGAAGGTGCCTCCCTCCCTTCTTGGCAGAGCGGGGGTGAAGGGTATGGGTGTGGAACTCTGTACATGCTGCCAGGCTTTTTCAGTCTGTTGGTTAGCTTTACTGAATTGTTTTTCCCCTTCTTTTTTTTTTTTAAAGTTGGGGTAAAGCCCAAGTTTTGCTTCAGAAGCAGTGGGACTGTGAATAAGTCACATAAACCGTTCTGGATTTAGTTTTCTTGTCTGTAAAATGGAGATGGTGAACACAGTTTGTAAAACCTTTAACTCAGGGGTTTTTTTGTTTGTTTGTTTTGTCATTTTTCCTGCTGCCATGGTAGTCTGATGAAACCTACTGACTTCTCAAAATGTTTTTAAATAATCGAAGGAAATGTTAAATTTCAGTTAGAGGTTAGGGAAAATAAAGATGTAATTTTTTTTTCCCATACAAGTTCACAGTGCCCTGAAAAATCTATCCATAGACCACTTGTTAAGAATCCCTCCTCTAGGGGCAGCTAGGTAGCACAGTGATTATAGCTCCAGCCTTGGAGTCAGGAGGAACTGAGTTCAAATCTGGCCTCAGACACTTGACACTTACTAGCTGTATGACCCTGGGCAAGTCACTTAACCCCGATTGCCTCACAAAAAAAAAAGAAAAAAAAGAATCCCTGCTCTACAATTTGGAACTATGCCCAGAGGGCTATAAAACCATGTAAACCCTTTGACCTAGCAATACCACTACTAGATCTGTATCCCAAAAGACATTAAAAACCAAAAAGAAAAAAGACCTATATGTGCAAAAATATTTATAGCAGCTCTTTTCTGGTGGCAAAGAATTGGAAATTGAGGGGATGCCCATCAGTTGGGGAATGGCTAAATAAACTGTAGTATGTGATTATGATGGAATGCTATTATGCTATGAGAAATGAGGAGCAAGATGCTCTCAGAAAAACCTGGAAAGACTTACATGAGCTGATACAAAGTGAAATGTACTGTGTACAAAGTAACAGTAAGATTGTAAGATGATCAGCTGTGAATGACTTAGCTATTCTCAACAATACAATGATGCAAGACAACTCTGAAGGACCTGTGATGAAAAATGACATCCATCCCCAGAGAAAGAACTGATGGTATCTGAATACAGACTGAAGTATACTTTTTTGCTTCCTTTAATTTTCTTGAGTTTTTTTGGGGGGAGGGGGTCTATGTTTTCTTTCACAACATGACTAATGGAAATGTTTTACATGATTACATGTGCATAACTTATATGGAATTGCTTGTCTTCTCAATGTGGGGGTGTGGGTGGGGAGGGAGGAAGGGAGATAATTTGAAACTCAAAGTTTTAAAAATGAATGTTAAAAATTATTTTTACATGTAACTGGGGGAAAATATTAAATAAATTCAGAAAAAAATAAAAGCATTGAAAGGCAAAAAATTAAAATTTAAAAATAGAATGAAAAAACCCTATGCCTAACTAAAAAAAAAGACTCCCTGCTCTAAGCATTATAAAAAATAGGCTATTATTGTTAGTTTCTGAATTGAAAGGGGCTTTCAAAAATCATGTTGTCTACCCCATTCTGCCTTGAAACCTCTAACCCAGCTCAGTTGTGCTGTCTGATTCCATCTACAGCTGTTGAACTCTATGCACAGAGCCAGACAGCTAGCTATGACTTTAAGGTTCCCAAGTCATCATATATTGTGAGCCCCTGCATATCTCCCTCCCTGTCCCACCCATCCAAGAGAGGCTCCTCTATCTACTATCATAGCTGGTATTCTAGGCAACCATCCACATTAGAGTATGTTTTCCTTGAAAGGTATAATGCAATCTCAACAAAGCCGATGCTTGCCGGCCCAGATACACCTTAGAGAGTTTTAAAAACTTAGCTTCCCAAGAAATCAAATCAGCTGAAAGTCCTTGGCTGCCTGCTGGTTTATAACAAACCACAAGTCTAAAGTTCGAGAGGGCTCAGGTTTCTCTCTCTCTCTCTCCCTCATGGTTGAGGTCTCAAACCTCCCTGCAGCCCAGAATCAGCCCTGTCTTTGACTCCACCCTGCTTCATAGTAGAGCAGGCTGTAGGGCTTGCCCAGTCCTCCTGGGAAAAATGCATGGGCTTGAGAACTCCATCTATGCCTGGTTTTGGCAACCTCACAGGAAAACTGGAAACTGCCACTATTGACTGTCCTGGATGCACCCTTAGTAGGTAAAAATGGCACCGTGCCGATGCCCCCACATCTACTCTCAAGGGCCCTAGAAGTCCTTCAGGGAGGGTTATGGACTTAAGAAAAGGGAGCAGACAGCAGCAGTGGGGTCAAAGGTAGTGATGGCTTTCCAGAGTACAACCGGGATACTGTAAACTGGAGTAAAGCGAAAGTCAGCCAGAATGGTGTCAAATGCCACCACTGGGTTTGTCTGAAAGCTTTTCAAGAGCAAGACTAAGTAAAGGATAGAGAAATATGGTTTGTCCATGACCATGACATCAGAGAAAAGGGCACGTTAACTTCTCTGACCTTTAATTTGCTCATCTGTAAATGGAGGGAATCTTAGATCAAGAAGGGATCTCAAAGACCCAAAGCCAGTGAGTTGACTCATCCGGAGTCACGAAAGGTAGTAACTCTTAGAGGTAAGATTTGAACCAGGGCCTCCTGACTGCAGAGCCAAATGGCTGTTAGCATGGGAGCCTGCTATGATTCCTCTGTTCCTAATCTCGTACAATGTAGGTCACAAAGGTCTAAATAGAGCTTGACTTTTTCAACTGTACATTTTGCTATGTTATATTTATTATCCATTTTGTTGTTGAGTCATGTCCAATGCTTCATGACTGCATTTGGTGTTTTCTTGACAAAGATCCTGGAGTAGTTTGTCATTTCATTCTGCAGCTCATTTTACAGATGAGGAAACTAAGGCAAACAGGGTTAAATGACTTGCCCAGGGTCACACAGCTAGTAAGTGTCTGAGGCCAGATTTGAACTTAGGAAGATGAATCTTCCTAACTCCAGATCCAGCACTCGATCTACTACACCAACTAGCAGCCCTAATTAATTATCCATATTAATTTATTATCCATAGTGCACAAAAATATGATTTTTTTCCTCACTCAGTACTGTTCTCTACCATATACCAGACTTGGAGGAACTTGGTTTACATCCTGTCTCTGGCACTTCCTAGCTGGAGTGACCCTGGGCAAGTTGTTTTAATTCAATTCAATAAACATTTCACCTCTTTGAAGCCCAGTCTTCCCACCTATAAAAAACAAGGATAATAATCCCTATAATACCTCCATCCCAGGACTGCCATGAGGCTGAAATAAGATGGTCTAGAAAGCATTTGCAGACATTTGAGTGCTCTGTAAACCTCAGTTACTCTTGATATCTCAGAGTTCCTGTCTTCTAATTCTCCATTGTAAGCTACCTTTTTATTCCAACTCTCTCATTGCCATCTCTTCATCACATAGTCCTTTGGCCTCTCTTCTGTACCTTATGTGGAAAGACCCCTTCCATCAAATTCACTTCATCAAGGAAGAAAGGAAAGACACCTAAAGTGGCTGAGTTTATTGATTGAAACAACTGTCTGAGCTCCCCCCACTTTTTAAAAAACTTAAATACACCTCATCTCTCCTCTTGTTGATTCCCATCCTCAATCAGTAAACTTCTAGAGGGTGAGAACTCTAGTCTCAGTCAGAAACTAAAAGTTCTGCTATTCTACAGAGAGATCTTCCAAATCCCAGAGATTTAATGTATTAGATTGGCCTAAAAACTTAAAAAAAAAAGAAATTTTGAAATTTTAAGATTAAGATTTGAAATTCCACATTTGGTTAAAAATCTTATTTTATCCTTATATGGCAAGCCTGGGGATTTGAGGTTTCCCATTGAGCATGTGACTTGTCCTCTGGTGTTAATTTCACCTCTCCATCAGCCCTCTCCCCAAAGACACCTGCACCTAGTCTTTTCTCCTCTTTCTGTATGTTCTCCAAACAGGACCTGCAGCCTAGTCACTGTAAAGTTGTGAGGACATCCAAGAGCTGGAGAAGGAGAGTTCTTATTCCAATTGACCGCAAATGGACATGAGCACCATCTGCTAAACACCAGGATGGAGACCACCCCTCTGAATTCTAAGAATGGGCAGTCAGCCTGCAAGGATGGAGAAGACTGCCAGGAAAATGGCATTCTGCAGAAAGGACTCGCTGGCCCAGGGAACAAGGCAGAAGCAGGACAAATCTCAAATGGGTACTCAGCTGTGCAGAGTCCAGGTATGGAAGGGGACACCCGCAACTCCATCCCAGCAGACAACACCACCCTAGGCACCGAAGGTCACCAAGGGGAGCGAGAGACCTGGACCAAAAAGATGGACTTCCTCCTCTCGGTCATTGGCTATGCTGTGGACCTTGGCAATGTGTGGCGCTTCCCATATATATGCTACCAAAATGGAGGAGGTCAGTAGTGGGAGGGGGTAATGTGCAGAGTTATGTACATGAGGCTTCTGGTGAAGCTGTGTCTTTTCTGTATTAGGACCTCTCTTGTTGAGATTATCTAAAATGTCTTAAGAAGTGAATGAAGGTCCAGGGATAATGTGGCACACATTTATATCATATATTATTAAATGCTTCCTCACAACAACCTCGTAAAGTAGGCAGTGCAGGGTTTCCATTTTACAGACAGAAAAACTGAGACTCCAAGAGATAAAGGTTACTCATACACATCTAGCAATTGATGGTGCTGGGATTTGAACTCAGGACCCTTCAATCTGTACCACATTGATATTTCAATTGGGAATTAAAACTCCAACTTTCTGGACTGTTTGTTAATTCTGCTAAAGGCTAGATCACTTAAGAGAGCATGTGTTTGAACAAAAGCTTAAAGCAAGTCCCAAGATTAGTCTGATAGTTTCCTTGGGAGTCCTCCAGAATAGGGAGCTGCCAGGGTTGAGCTAAATCTGAAGTCAACACTGGCTGTAGCCAGCCCTGTCAAGTCAAGGCAAGAGGCATTTAATAAGCCTCTACTATGTGCCAGGCACTGTTCTGAGGGCTAGGAATAAAAAGGAAGGCAAAAGACAGTCTCTGCTCTCAGGCTGTTCAGAGTCTAATAGGGAAGATATTATGTAAGTAACTGTGTGAAAACAAGATATGTCCAGATAAACTGGAGATAATCTCAGAGTTAAGGCACTAGACCATATAAGAGCTCCTTAAAGGCAGAAACTATCCCTTGCACATTTTACCTTCACTCTAGCGCCTAACACAGTGCCCTGCACATAGTAGGTGCTTAATAAATGTTTGATGAATGTACAACTAGACACCCAAGTCTGCACTGGAACAAAATGGACCCTGTGGCTGGACAGAAGTGAATGTTTAGTTGTTCATGTTCTTCCCACCACATGTGACTGAGAAGAGTCAAGAGACAAAAGCCATCAGTTTATCGTCCTCCTCTTCTGGAGCTCTGGTGATAGGCTCAGGGTCAGAAGGAAGTCAGAAATAAGGCTTAGTATCTATGTATCCATCTACAATGAGATTGCATTTCATTGCAATAGGGAACAACTGAAGATTCTAGAGCAGAGGAGCTATGGAATAGGATTTGGGAGACCTGGGTTCAAATTCCACCTGGATCCACCCTGCCTCCTTACTTCTCTCCCTTGAGCCTCTTGGTGACATTGACTATTTCCTGGATTTTGCTAGAAACACTTCAACTGCCATATAGAAAGATGTGTGGGGCAGTTTAGGAAGAATCCAGATGTACTCACTTGGGAGGAGAGCCAACTTCTCTTTGTCCCAGAGGGGGTTTATCTTTGACCTGGAGTTTTGATATAAGGGGGTGGGTCTCTTGTAGTTTTTCCCTGACACTCATTCCATTCAGGAAAAATGCTGTGGAAATACAGGGTAATTCTCCTTATTTATTCTTATGCCAGATTCTCAAAAGTGGCCACCAGGATAATCTTAAGTTCCTATCACTCTCTTCCTCTGAAAGGATCGAGGCCTTTTTTTTTTTTAACGAAAGAGAAAGCCATTCCGAAAAATCACCACTGGCCCAGCCCTCCCTATCAAACTGAGGGCAAAGGTGAAGGCTCTCTGTGGCTGTGAACAATTCCCTTTCCAATCCAGCAAACACTTGCTCTCTGGATCTATATTGTACTGTCCTTGTGGACAGACACAGACATACACAGACACATCTCTCTGTGTGTATGTGTGTGTGCGTGTGTGTGTATACGAATATATATATATACACACACGTACATATATATGTACATATATCTATATCTATATCTATATCTATATCTATATCTATATCTATATCTATATCTATATCTATATCTATATCTATATCTATATCTATATCTATATCTATATCTATATCTATATCTATATCTATATATGGTTATACACACACAGACACTGTTGCTGAGGGGTGATCCCCATGGCTAATGCAGTGGAAACCAGGAAATGGTTGAATGTTGAACATTGCAGGGCTCTGGAGGGGGGGTGGCAGCATGTCTGAAATCCACTGATATGTGGACTTGGAATTTTAGAACGGGAAGTCTGTCTTTAGAACTTGGAGGCTGTCTACTCTAACCCATTCATTGCAGACCTGGGTTCAAATTCTGGCCATGTCATTATCTAGAGCCTGCAGTCCATTAGGCATCCATGACTTCCCAATTCCTAAAGTGCAAATTTCACTCTTACTACCAGTGAAGTGACAAAGTCAGAGATGACATTCCTTCTCCTCCTTGGTTACAGGGGCCTTCCTTATACCCTACACCATCATGGCCATTTTTGGTGGGATTCCTCTGTTCTATATGGAGCTAGCTCTGGGCCAGTATCATCGAAATGGCTGCATTTCAATATGGAAGAAAATTTGCCCCATTTTCAAAGGTAAGTGGATTGTTACCACTGGTCCTGGGGCAGTGGATGGAGATTCCCCTTCCCCCTTAGTAGGGGTGGTAATAGAGAAAAAAAGCTGAGGCTAGAAGAAGAGACTGTTTTGCAGTAAGCAGGCATCCCTCCTCACCATAACTGTTTGCAGAGCTATGATAGGCCTCCAATGCCCCATTTGACTGTCCCACTGCTTACAGCGATCCTGGGATTGCTGGGATCTCATTAGTGTGAATTATAAGGACCTAGAAGAAGAATTTTAGGTCCTTGATGTTTTGAAACTCTTTGCTTTTCCCTTTGTAACCCCTGTGTCCAGGACAGTGGCTCGTCAGTAGTAGTCACTGAATAAATGTTTGTTGGATTGAATCAATGTTGACGTGGCATCTGAAGGTTTACAAAGTGCTTTTCTCTATTAACTTACTCCCTCCACTAGTTACTCCTCTGTACTTACTCTCCTTATGAGATATTTGTCCATGTCTTTCTGGAAATCGCCCAAGATGGTGCTAACCAATGCCCAGGAGGCCTCCCTCTTGGTCTTTTAGTATTTCCAAGGAACACCAGGAGCATCCTCGGCCATTCATCGCCTTTGCTGACCCTTGGTATCCTTGCTCTTTAAGCACTGACTTGCCCGTAACCCTTTCTCTGACCACCTAGGGATTGGCTTTGCCATTTGCATCATTGCCTTTTACATCGCCTCCTACTATAACACCATCATGGCCTGGGCTCTCTACTACCTCATCTCTTCCTTCACGGGTCAACTGCCCTGGACCAGCTGCAAGAACTCCTGGAACACCGACAATTGTACCAACTACTTCTCAGAAGACAACATCACCTGGACTTCCCACTCCATATCACCTGCTGAAGAATTTTATACGTAAGTGCATGTAAGTGATCTTTGTTGGGGGGCAGGCCACCCTCCTGAGACTTGAGTTCTTAGGAGGCAGGTAGGGGCTCTTTGCCCTTCCTCCATTGAGCTCTCTAAGTATTTATAGAGATGAGAGCATGGGTGCAGTAGGGTTGGATTGAGGCAAGGCTGTGAAATAGCATTCCACTCACTCCAACATCCCTCCCTCTGTGTGCCTGAAGAATTCCTGTCATTCTAACCAAATCTGTCCTCCTTCTCTGTTTCAAACCTCTCTTCCTCCATCAAAACTTCCATTTCCTTTTCTGCCTTTCTCTCTACTGTCTGAAAAAAAAATGTGATAAGCTAATTCATACAAAGAAGATGGCTGTTTTTAGCTTAAAGGGTCATTCCTTCCCCAGGTATCTAGGGGAGGTAGTGTATCAACCCAAAAGTATTATACTTTAAGAGTAGAATTTCAGGGGCAAGAGATTTCCTGGGGGGCAATGAAGCCTCCCAGTGCCCCTTAAGTCACAGCACATCAGTGACTGAGTATTACGCCTTTCTAGGAAGTTGGCCCTGGGGTATAGCTACCAGGTGCTGAGAAGGAAAGAGAGAGAGGACAGGAAGTTCATCTGTCAGTTTTATTCTTTGTCCAGGTGACAGTTAATAGAGTCTGCTATTCCATCCTTAGAAACACAGGCAAAGTCAGCCTGTGTTCCTCCGGAAGCCTGATGACCAATCAAATCTTGAGTCCTTTGAGTGCACCATGACATGGTGGACGCCCATTTTATTTCGTCTTGGAATAACCCCAGAACTATATACATACATACATTCACCATTCAGTCATTTTCAGTTGTATCCAACTCTTTTTGACTCCATTTAGGGTTTTCTGGGCAAAGATATTGGAGTGGTTTGCCATTTCCTTCTCTCTCTCTCTCTCTCTCTCTCTCTCTATGTGTGTGTGTGTGTGTGTGTGTGTGTGTGACAGAATGAAATGATTTCCTCCTATTCCTCTAACGGGCTTTTCTGTCTTATTCCAGGCGCCATGTTTTACAGGTCCACCAGTCTCGAGGACTAGATGATGTGGGAGGCATTAGCTGGCAGCTGGCCCTCTGCACAATGTCGATCTTCACTATTGTCTACTTCAGCATCTGGAAAGGGGTCAGATCATCTGGCAAGGTGAGGAAGGCGACAGCACTCCTTTGCTTAGTGAAAAGGCATGATGCCCCAGAGAACCCTCAAACCCGGAGTCCAGTGGTCTTGCTACCTAAGGACAGTTAAAGCCAGGGGACAGATAGAAATATTTACTTAAAACTAAAAAGCATTCCACAGTGTTCAGCCTGCACACAGCAAATCTAAAGCCAAGGAATCACCTCGTGCTCAGTAACCATCACTTCCATTTTTGCACACCCCACTGATGTTACTAAGCCAAAGGGGTAGAATCTCCACTCTTTAAAGATGGAAGAAATGTCTGTCTCTGCAGGATGGCTGAGGTGTCATCCTGCCTTCTCTCTAACTCTGTTCTCCCTTGCAGGTGGTGTGGGTGACAGCTACTTTCCCTTATATTATCCTGTCCATCCTGCTTGTAAGGGGGGCCACGCTTCCAGGAGCCTGGAGAGGTGTCGTTTTCTACCTGAAACCCAATTGGCAGAAGCTCCTTGAAACTGGGGTAAGATAATGAGAACAGCAAAGAGGGAGGAGAGGAAAAAAATAAGGACTTTACTTGCCCGTCTGTCATTTCATTGATGGCAGGTCCACTTCCTCTGAATAAGTCCACAGGGGGCCAGCTTGTGAATGCTAGAGAGCCTGGAATTGGGAGGGGGATTGATCTGCAGTGATGTCTGAAGCTCCAGGAAAGGTGAGCTTGAGAGCTAGAGTTGAGGTGATTCATCCTGACATATACCTGGATGTCAGAAACAATTATCACAAGCAGCCTTCCCTCGATACCTTCAAGGCTCCCTTTATGGAAGCTTCCGAGCTTTCCATCAGTCTCATTGGATTTGAGCTTTGTGAAGACGCGCGTGGCTGCTGGTCTCCCCAGCCTGGTCTCTCGTCTCACCCGTTCTTTCCCTCGGTTGTATTTCAGGTCTGGGTGGATGCCGCAGCTCAGATTTTCTTCTCGTTGGGTCCTGGCTTTGGTGTCTTACTAGCTTATGCTAGCTATAACAAATTCAATAACAACTGTTACCAGTGAGTATCTTGGAACGCTGGCTACTTTATCATCTTACCATTTTGTGGGGGCATGAAGTTGATGAAGACTTCTGAAAGGACTCATGCCTTCAGGACAGCATGGCGTGGGCAATGACAATGGTGCCTCTACAGGCATTTAGAGCTAGAATTCATGCCCCGCCCCTCCCCATTTACCTTAGAGGGTGGCAACCTACATCAGTAGAGGGAGTTTCCTCACCTGGAAGCTGCCTATACCAAAATCCCAGTTGAGTCCCTCTCCCAGTGTTTCTTCTACTTCTGTCTCTGGCTGGTTGAGCAGCAATCAGAATCAAGCCAGCCAACCTGATAAAACCACCAACTGAAACTCTCATGGGGGAGTTGTGGATCAGCCAGCCGGTGACCTGTAATGGAAAAGAGGGGCAGGGAGAATGTCACATCGACTGCATTTTTATATGAATCTATCATTGTGGGAGAATCTCAGTATAACAAAATTCATGCAGACAACCCTACAGGAATATTCAGGCTAGTCACACCCATTCACAGTGTTCATAACCAGTTGACCTCAGAGACTCTAACAGCATTATATGATCTGATCATAATCAAACTTTTTTTTTCAAATGGCCATAAAAATCGGTGCATGCTCAAGTATCCTCACTGCCACACCCCAAATGCCAAGCCCCAATCTGGTACATTGCTTAAATGCTATTGCCCTTTAATCTGGCCGTCACAGGCCCTTACCAGCAGCTGCTTCCTGAGACAACATGCTGGCCCCACCAGTTAAATGTTAGCCGTTTGGCAACCCCAACACATGGTCCGTGTGTGTGCCAATGGTCATCTCAGCCCTTGGGCAATCTGGGCTCATATGCAGGAGTTCTGGGTGATGCTATGAATTAGGTCCTTTCCTGCTGGCCACCAGATTTCAGATTTCACCCCCCTGAACAGCCGTATGGAAAAGCTTCTGATATTTTATTTCCTCTGTTAATAAGAACTATCACTGGTTTCCTTGAAAATCTGTAAGTCATTGTCCTTTTCTCCACATATGGTGGTGGTTAATTTGCAAGCCGGGTCGAACTACGGCAACCTGGATTGGGAGATAGGAGAGTGGAAGGCAGGGAATACAAGAATTCTGATGATATTTTTTATTAAATTTTAAAAGCTCAATTTGTTCACTCTTGCTAAGGGAGACTTGGACAGGCTTGTCTAGGGAAACATATGAGGGTAAGAAGGAGTTCTGGGTGAGGAGTTAACTTTCTCCTTGTGTCACTTCATGAGTCACTTCCCTTCCCTAGACTCAGTTTCCTCATCTGTAAAATGAGTAGGCTGGACTATGGGCTGGTCTCAGATCCTTTCTGGCTCTGAACCTATGATCCTACAAATAATACGGAGAGACATCCTTGGGAAGAAGGATAATAGAGAGGAAAGAGTATTTGTGTTTGAAGTTAGAAGACTCGGTTTCTAACCCACCCCACCCCCCCGCCCCCAAGCTGTGCAACTCTGGGCAAATCACTCTCTCTGAGACTCTGTAAAATGATGGGCTTGGTCTAAATTGTCCCAAAGGTCCCTTCCTGCCCCAAATCCCACGGTTAAGAACTGTTCTGGTTTTTCAGAGATGCCCTGGTGACCAGCATTGTGAACTGCATGACAAGCTTCATGTCTGGATTTGTCATCTTCACCGTGCTTGGCTACATGGCGGAGATGAGGAATGAAGACGTGTCCGAAGTGGCTAAAGATATAGGTAGGAGCCTAGACTCTATTTCCTCATTTAGTCCTGACTTGGGCCAACTTGGTTAAGAGTAGGGGAGACTGGCTGGAGAGGGAGAGGAAGGCTCTTCTGCTCCTTTTTAAAAAGTATATATAGAATTATATAATGTATAATATATGATATCTAATGTAACAGTATATATAACACAATACATTACATATGATATTATAGGTTATGAATATATGTGTTTCAAACGATGTATTCTTTTTCAGCTTTTGAAAATTTTCGAAAAACACCTTCTTTGGAAATGTTACCTAGTCTCATGGGTTCTTGATTAAAGGGTCTAAAGACTTGGGTTCAAATGCCAGCCCTGTGTGACTTTGGAGAAGTCATTTCCTTTCCAGATCTCCATTTCCTCACTTGTAAAATATGGGGGTTAAAATAATGGCTTCTGAGTTTCCTTCCACCTCTTGATCAATGATGTTATAAACAATTTCTGGATTCTTAAACAAAAAATCCAGCCTGCTTGACGTGGCTGCCTGAGTGTCCCGCCATCATTCTCACTTAACACATTCCAAATTAATCTTATCGTCCTCCCTGTGAAACCAGTTCTCCTTCTTGACTTCCTTCTTTTTGTCAATGGCGACACCATTGCTCTAGTCACCCAAGCTTAGAAACTCAGTCTTCTATGTCTCCTCCCTAGGACTTCATTCTCCATCGTCTTAAACCTTCCCCTTCTCTTCTGCTTTCCACTGCATCTCATCTACTCTGAGCCTCCATCATCTTATGTGCACAATATTACAACAGTCTCCTAACTAGTCTCCCTGCCTCCAGGGACTGTCTTAAGAATCTTTTTGTCTCCTTAGCATGTGGCCAAGCCCTGCACACAGGAGGTGACAATAAAGATTTGTCAACCCATTGATAGATTTTTAAAATGCAGTATGTGTGTGTCAGTCAATAAATATGTATGAAGAACCTACTATGTGCTAAGCACTGTGACAAGAGATGAGGACACAGAGAAAGATGAAAGACGATTCCTGGTCTCCTGAAGTTTCATTTCATGGGGGAGACTAAATGCAAATAAGTGTGTATAAACAAGATAGATTGAAGATAATTAAGAGGGGGAAGGCACTAGAATTAAGGAGGATGGAGAAAGGCTTCCTGTACAAGGTGGGATTTTGGCTGGGACTTGAAGGAGTCCAGAGAAGCCAGGAGGTAGAGACAAGAACAGAGAGAGTTCCAGGCATGGGAGACAGTCCGTAAAAATGCACAAAGTCCAGAGACGGTGTGTCTGGTTTGAGGAACAGTGAGGAGGCCGGTGTCACTAGATAACAGTGAGGTTATGTGGGGATGGAAGGAAATAGGGGAGGTGTAAGAAGATTGGAAAGGTTGGCAGGAAGCGAATTATGCAAGGCTTCGAACACCACCCAGAGTTTTATATCTGATCCTGGGAGTGATAGGGAGCCACTGGAGGTCACTGAGCAGGAAGATGATGTGGAACCTGCACCTGAGGAACATCGCTTTTACAGCCGAGTGGAGGATGGACTGGAGTGGGGAGAGACTTGTGGCGGGGAGACCCCTCCCCCCACCAAGGAGGCTATTGCAGTAGTCCAGGCAAGAGGTGATGAAGGCCTGCACCAAGGTGGGGCAAGTGTCAGAGGAGAGAGGGGGGCTTATTATGCAAGAGATGTTTTGAAGATAAAATCAGCAGGTCTTGGCAACAGATTGGATACCGGGGGTAGGGGGTGAGGGAGTGAGATGCAGGGGATGACACCAAGGTTTCAAGACATCTGGGAAGAGGTCAGACTGGCAAAAGCCTCCACGATGCAAAAAAAGGTTAAGAAAACCTGCTTGTTAGAAAGCATAAAGCACAGGGATATTCTTGCAAATGAGTTGTGTGAAGTAGACCATTCTGCTCCTGGACCTTCCCATCGAATACTGTTCATTCCACAGGGGTCTGTGCATCTCAGGGTCAAATGACACCTTCTGGGAGAAGGCTTTGAGTTGCTCTGAATGGGGGTGTTAAGGGAGCAGCCGCCCACAATGGGTCTATCACCCACCACGGGGCTCATAGGCCCCAGGCTGGAAGGGATCCAGGCTTAAGCCACCTGCTCTGCCCCCCTCCCATTTTACAGATGAGGAAGCAAAGGACCAGGCAAGTAAAATGACTTGATTTGAATCCAGCTCCTTGGACTCCAAGGTTCTTCTATCATGCTCCATTGCCTTCCCAACTCTCCTTGATTTTTTTGAAGCTCTAAGTCTCTTTCTTCCATATTAGCTGGAGGCCTAGCTGTGTCCATGGCAGAGGAGGCCTGATGACTGTCTCCTTTTCTCTACCCACTCACCTCAGGGCCCAGCCTCCTTTTCATCACATACCCGGAAGCCATCGCCAACATGCCGGCCGCCACCTTCTTTGCTATCATTTTCTTCATAATGATAATCACTCTGGGCTTAGACAGCACGGTGAGTGGATTGTTGTGGGGGAAAAGGCCCTGGTGGGGGTGGGCTGGGGTGGCGGCAGGCAGGAAGGTATTTATTCAGAGACCCTTCCTCAGAAACCTGAATAAAACCTTTGAGGGCTTAGCAGTGCCTGGGAGTCTCCCCAGTGTTTTTTCTTTTTCCTTTTCTAGATGTCTTCAGGTGATGGATTCTTTTGTTGATTCTTTTTAAAAATCTTTTTTATATCACCTACCGTTTTCTAATCTATCCCTCCTCTATTCCCCTCCTGAAGAGCCATCCTTTTTACAACAAAGCATTATAGCAGGAATTTTTTTAATTTGGCAAAACCAACAAATTTTATAAGTCTCCATATCCATGCTCATGCCTCTTTTTTTGCAGAGGTAATAGATATCTCTGTGTGTATACACACACATACACATATGTATGTGGATATATATATATATATACACACACACGTACGTATGCATGCATAGGTATGTATATATACACATACCTGTATAATGTATATATGTGTAATCATGTGTGTGTGTGTGTGTGTGTATGTGTATATGCATGCATGTAGGAGTGAATGTGTGTATGTATGTCATTTCTCTTCTTTGGAGCCAAGCATGGTCAAATGATGGATTCTTAATCATGGAGGGGATGCCGTTTCCAAATGTTTATTCACAGGGCAGCCGGTTGCTGTGGCCCAGCATGGCTTCTTTTCTCCATCAATCACCCAAGCTCTCTCCTTGCCTGGGCTGATCCTGACAGTGCCATGGCCCGTTGCCCGTGACCCCAGTCCCCAAACGGTTATTCCCATGTCAGAAGTTCTCAAGCATCAGGGAGCCAAAGTGGCTCCTGCTGACCTCTCTGGGCAGGGAACCCAGGGGGATGAGGACTCATCTCTCCACATGCACTTCTCAGTTTGCAGGACTTGAGGGTGTGATCACGGCGGTGCTGGATGAATTCCCACACGTCTGGGCCAAACGCCGGGAGTGGTTTGTGCTTGCTGTGGTCATTACCTGTTTTTTTGGATCTCTTTCCACCTTGACTTTTGTGAGTATTGACTGCCCTTGACTTTGAGTCTCTCCTGGGCAGGCCCAGAGTAAACCCAGATCAGACCCTTACCATCTGAGCGCCTAAGGAAAACCAAGTGGTGATGATCCCTTCAAGAGAAGCCATTTTTAACACATGCATGTTGGCACCTTGGTGGGTGACTCTGCTGGTCTTGACCCCTAGGAAGGCTCTCAGAGGCTGATTTACTCTGACCGACACAATCCTTTTACCTTAGGACTTAAGAGGGCTGGTGCCCTTTAAAAAGTTTCCAATCTATTTCCTACTTTACTACATTAATTATATATGAGTGTTTTCCCAATGCACAGACTATCTAGATGGCTGGAAGCTCTAGTCTGTGACAGAATAACTTTTTCTTCTCTCGAGACAACCTGTCATACTGGGAGGCAGCATGGAGTCAGATAACCTCTCTGGGCCTCAGTTTCCTCACCTGTAAAATGAGGGATTTGGACTTGATAACCTTGAAAGCCTGTTCCAGACCTTAACATATGGTCCATTTACCCAGAGAAGCCAGGAGGTGGATGCCATGGGGATCATCAGCTACCTGGCCCAGCCCTGGAAGACACCTTGGAGGCCAATTGTTCAACTCTCACATTTATTAAATGAGGAAAATGAGGCTGAGATGGGGAAGTAGCTTACCCAAGGTCACAGAGGCAGGAAGTGTCACCGTGTGATTTGAACTCAGGCCCTTTTACTACTAATCTTGCGCTTTGAATGAATCAAAAGGTGTCGACTAAAGTCATAAATCTTTCTCTTTATTTTTTCCATCCTGACTCCTATTTGCAAATCAACATCTTCAAGCTATAAAAGTACTCAGCACAGTGTTATTGAGGAGTATAGAAGGAAGGGACTGAGCATTTATTAAGCACCTACTAGGTGCCAGAGGCCACACTAAGCACGTTACAAATAGTATCTCATTTGATCCTCACAACCCACCCTGGGAAGGAGGTGCGGAGGAGGTCACAAAGGAGCAGAGGCCAGATGTAGGAATAACAGACACGGGGTCAGATGCATCTGATCACACGGTTCCCTCTGGTCCCCAGTCTTTACAGGATAAGCACCTGTAAGGTTAAGTACATTAAGTGGTACTCAAAAAATGCTTGCCAAAGGCATCAACAGCAGCTAGTTTAAACTGGACTCCTAAGGGAGAGAAAGGCAAGAAGTGGAGAAGGTTGACATATGGAATGAAGCCCACACCAAAAAGGAGAGGGATCACTATGGAAAGGATAATATGGTGTAACTGGAGAGAGAGCTGAACCCAGGTTCAGTTGACAGAGAACTGGGTTCAAGTCCCACCTCTGACATTTCCTAGCTGTGTGACTGTGGAAGGGTCACTTAACCTCTCCCAGACTTAGTTTCCTAATCTATAAAATGGGGATAATAGCTGTATTGTCTACTCCCTAGGGTAGTTGTGAGGATCGAGTGCAATAATCAATCAACAAACATTTATTGAAAATCTACTATATGCCTGGCATGGTGCTAGGGACTGGAAATATGCAGAATAAAAATACACAGAAATAAATACATAGAATAAAAGAATCCTTGATAAGATATGCAAATTGCTTTGCAAACCCTAAAGTAATACATAAATGGTAATAATGATGATGATGATAATGTTATGAAGACCTCCAGAGACTAAAATTAATGCCTCAATTGAAGAGTCGGAATTTCTTTGGGGAAAGAAGCTTTCATAAACCCTTTAATCACTGAGTGTGGGAGCAGTGATGGGTCTTACTAATGGCCCCTAATTCCCAGATCTCCTCTTTCGTTTCCAGGGAGGGGCCTATGTGGTGAAGTTGCTGGAGGAATACGCCACTGGACCGGCGGTTCTCACAGTGGCGCTGTTGGAAGCAATCGCCGTGTCTTGGTTCTATGGTAAGAGTATTCTTTCCTCCGGTTCTTTCCACCGGTTCTTTGAGTCCTGCTGAGTAGAACAGGGAGGGCTGTGCTGTCACAAAAGGAGTTCCAGATGGGCTCCACAAAGGGCGACCTGCTGACGCATCCACAGGAGTTATCTTAACTAACCGCTTTCTTAGAAAACAGAATCCCTTCTTCCTGGCTGGCATCTGTAACAGATGGCTAGTGGTCCTGGGGTGGGCCTTTTCTGGTGAATTTAAAGTCTGCCTGGGAGAGAGGCTCAGGGCACATAGCATGGGTCTTCACTCCACACAGAATTCAGTTGGAAGGGAACTGCACACATATATCCACACACATACCCACATGTAAACATATAACCTATCTAATCCATTCCCAATGAGATTACCTTCCCATCTACACTGTGGGTTGTCTGCCTCATTAGAATGTGATTTCTTGGAGGACAGGGACCATGGTTTTGCCTTTCCCTTGTGACACACGGAATGCTAGGGGGGGGCCTTAAAAACACAAAAGGCCAGCTCAGCCACAGTGATTTCACATACCTTCACCTCAGTAAGCTCTCTTATGGGCACTGAGAGGGCAGCTAGGTGGTGCCACACTGCACAGAGTGCTGGGCCTGGAGTCAGGGAGACTCAACTTTATGAGTTCAAATCTGGCCTCAGATGCTTACTGGCTGTGTGACCCTGGACAAGTCACTTAACCCAGGTTGCCTAGAAGATTTCCTCTTCTATAAAATGGTCTGGAGAAGGAAATGGCAAACCACTCCAGTATCTCTACCAAGAAAACACCAAATGGGTCATGAAGAGTTGGACAAAACCAAACAGCACAATATGGGCACTGAGTCGTGTCTCATTATTTTCTGCAGAATCAGATCTTTAGAATTGGGGTACAGATAGGCAACTTCAATACAAGGTATTCCTTGAAAATTTTCAACAGATCTGATCAAATTCAGTCTTTCTCTGAGCAGATCACTACGTAGATGAGTCTATCACATCAGTGTCTAACAATCCACTACCAACTTTACACTCAGGGCTGCGGAGACGGGGACCAGCAGGCTGTCCTCACCTGCTCCTAAGACCCATGGGAAGCACACACACACACATGCCCTTTTTATATCCTATGGAGACTCTGGTTCAGTGTGACCCTGAGTGTGCCGAGGAACAGGGGCTGAACAATCTGTGTAACATGACTTCTTCTGCCTGTAGGTATCAACCAGTTCTGCAGTGACGTGAAAGAAATGGTTGGTTTCAGCCCTGGTTGGTTTTGGAGGATCTGCTGGGTAGCAATCAGCCCAATATTTCTGCTGGTAAGTTAGGATTTCCCTGCGTTCTTCTTTGTTTGAGGAATTATCTTCAATGCTCCTTAAAAAAAATCACTTCACTTTTCTGCTCAGGAATCTCTAGTGCCACGTTCTTCCCTATCACACTAATTCTAATCTGATTGTCACGTCAAATCAGTCTAGTGTTTGACCTGTGTTTGAATCCCCGCTTTCCCACTTTTGCCTGTTGAAGCCTAGAGAAGTCACCCTCTCTAAGACTCAGTTTCCTCATCTGTAAAATGAGGCGATCCCTTCTAGCTCTAAATCTAAATCTCATCTCTCGTTACTCCCCTGCATGGCCTCTCTTGCATCCATCAAACAGATGTTGTTGCTGTCTTGTGCATGGGACAACCCAAGTCTAAGTTCAAGTAAAATGTACATTTTATGTTTGATGGTTTATGGTTGATAGGTTGTAAGGAAAGGAAAGTTCAATCCTATAAGTAGCTTAATTCATGTGTGCGCACACATACATGTTGTTGGTCTGTCTTTCATTCTAGAATCAGTCTAGGAAGGGAAGACTCTTAGAGTTGCTGGCCAGAACAGAAACAATTGCCATTCACACCCACTCTAAGCTATCAAACCAAAACAATGAGCAAGAGAGGCTTGGGCTGGGACCTCTTATTGGCCAATCAAGGCATCGTCAAGTAGCTTCCATGTGGAGCAGTTGGAGGGGTGTGGCCAGCGCCCTGGTTGCGAGATGGGATCCTGACTGCTGACATACCACAGAATCTCAGAGTCAGAAAGAGCCTCAGGAGCTGTCTAGCCCAACCTCCTCATTTTTAGAGTAGAAATTAGACTCAGAATGTGAAAGTGGATGGCCCAGGGTCCCATGGGTAATCAGTAGCTGAGCTGGTACACACCAAACAGGAATCCTTTCTACTCAGAGCCAACAAGCAGCCAAGGAAAGGCTACTGACATCCTTTCAGGGATCTGCTCCCCTTAATGACCACTTGTGGTCCACCTGTGACCCAGGTTCTGCTCCGAGGCATCTTTCTGTAGAGGGCACTGCTGGTTCTCAGCAGAGGCTATTCCTCAATTTGTCCCTGTCCCTCCTTTAAGGGAGGGTCTTTTGATCTTCCACAGTCCCTTTAGCTCTTGGAGATTAGGGCCACACAGCCAAATATAAAGAGTCCATGCGTCTGCCACAAAACTAGAATTAGTTTTTTTTGTGCTGTAGTCCTGGTGTGAACATGAATCTTTCTGACCAAACCATCCTTTCTGTATCTTTGCTTTCAAAGCAATCCGTCGGTTATTCTATGACATGTACACTAACTCACACAAATCTTAACTCAAATCCCGTGACGACTGACTCATCTTTGCCTTCATGACCTTGTAAATTGCCCCTCTCTGCCCAGAAACACCCTCCCTGCTTCTGTCCCTGGCTATCTTCCCTCATCTCCCTCAAATCCTGGCTCAAAATTCACCTCTGCCAGGGAGCTCACCCTAAATGATACCCCCAACTGACCAACTGACTGTTCCTCTCTCCTGTGTTACCTTAATGTTTATGACCTTCATTTGTAGATCAGTGTGTGCTTTTATTTATCAATGTTTAGTGTTAAAGTAAAATTAAAGTAATTTGTCCCCAACTAGATTGTTAACTCTTTGAGGGAACTGCTCAAGTCTTGTATTTCTTCTATATGCCCCATAGCACCATCTCCAGTTCTTTGTATACAGTAGACTTGCTGACTGGTGTTCACATTTAGTAGAGAATGCTAAAACACAATTTCAAGGGCCCTCAGGGGTAGGTTTTCTAGAAATCTGAAAGGGGGACAGATTTTTTTTTAAGGGAAAAGATTGTAGATGATGCTTATACCAAAAACCAAAGAGCTACCAAGACAACAGAAACTCCCAACTCACATGTGTGCTTCTTTATTTCTAAAATATCTTTATGAGAATGGTCCATGTAAGCATCCAGGGTATCCTTGATGTAAACATGAGAAGGAAATCTGTAGGTTTTGGAAGATTTGTATTTGCATTTGCTACAGTAGCCCATATTTCATTGTCACACAAATAACGAAGAGGTTGAGAGAATGGAAGATCTCTCTGTTCTTATTGCTTATAGATTTTGCATTTGATGTGGGAGAACAAAAAAAAAAGTTAAAGGCTCTCCTGAAATAAAGTATGTCCCATGCGTATGTTAAAATTATAAGACTCTATAACAATCACTTTGCTCAGACAGTTGCTAAGTACTGACATCAAACAAAGCAAAACCAAGGAGATCCACGCTCATCTAAGGGATTTACTGGTGTTGGAAGCAAAGTTCTGCACAGAATCCAAACCAAAGAAAGATTCCTTTTTGATAGTGCAGCTCTCCCAGTGCTTCGGTTTACAGATGACTGAGTAAAAGAGATTGAGAACGTTGCAAAGACCTCTCAATGAAGTCCAGAGCAATGGGAAAGAAGGAAGGAAGGAAAGAGAGGAATGAAGGAAAGAAAGAAAGAAAGAAAGAAAGAAAGAAAGAAAGAAAGAAAGGAAGGAAGGAAAAGGAAGGAAGGAAGGAAGGAAGGAAGGAAGGAAGGAAGGAAGGAAGGAAGGAAGGAAGGAAGGAAGGACAAAAGAAAGAGGTAGGAAGGAAGGAAGAAAAAAGAAAGAAGAAAAGAAGAAAAGAAGGAAAAAAAGAAATAAAAGTTGGTCTATCTATAATGAAAAAAGGAAGAGGATAAAATACATACATTCTCCAGACTACATGTAGCTGCAGAGACAATGAGTTAAGAGGAGACAAACCTTCCTCTGAGCACATGCCTTATGCCTTCTATCTCTAACAAAAGTGTGTCCCCTGAGGGAAGGCAGCAAAGGGCTGAGCAGAACATCTCCCATCTGTCCCAAAGCAATGATTTCCATCTGTGCCAGAACAAGGCAAGTTCCAGCTCCTCCTGCCAGCCTGATCCCCCAACAACTGGGGTGTGGAGAACCTTTGGTGCAAAAAGGAGCAACCTTCTCTTTGACCTCAGGCCTTCCATCTCCTGCTTCACCCTTTCCTGCCTAATCTCTACCATTTGAAGGGAAAAGGAGTGAGTAGTGAAGTGGGACTTCCCATCTGACCATCTAACCTGTGCCTGCCATCCCATACTGCATTTTAATCTCCAACCTCCTTTGGGAAAAAGAGTGGCACCTTCCACTCAATAATGAACATTCTCCTACTTGGTCATACGCTTCATATCCCAGTGATTCTGAGCCCCTGGAGGTTGTCATCCAAACCCCATTCCCTACCCCTCACTACCCAATTTCTTATTCCTATCCCTTTCAACTCCCCCCCACCAAAGTTTCAACCAAGCTCCACACAGTCCTTCTACTGTTCCCTGCAGAATGCCTGTTCCATTGCCAACAAACTTCCCTTCATCCTAAATCTTTTCTCCTCCCACTCCTTCCATCTATTAGCTATTACTGAAACCTGGTTCCCCCTGATGACACAGCCGCCCTGGCCACCCTTTCCAGCACTGACTGCACCTTCACTCATTTCCCTTGGCTCACTGGTCAAGGCAGGGGTGGGGGAGTTAGAATACTTGTTCCTTACACTTCCAGTTACCTTCATCGATCAGAATCTTCTCCTCCTTTAAGGATCATGCTCTTCTACCACCTAATCAAAATCCTAGTAGTTGTTGTCTACAGACCTCCAGGTCACTCTCTTTCCTTCCTCAATGAGTTTGATATCTGGCTCACAATTTTCCTTTTCTCCCTAGCTCCTGCCCTCATACTAGGGGATTTCAGTATACATACTGGCTCTCCCTTAAATACCCTAATCACTTCATTCTTCATCCTATTCACTTCCCATGACCTACTCCTCTACTTCACCTCAGGTATCCACAAAGATAGTAATACCTTTGATTTTGCCATCGCCCAAAAATATACCACCTCTATGTTCAAGAATTCAAAACCCCCTTATGTGATCATAATCTATTGGCTTTCTACTCCTCCCTTTGCCTTCCCTTGCAAAACCCTACTCTTCATCCTCATTGTGACCTCCATTCCCTCGACCCCTCAATTCTCTCCCAACTCCATCTCCTGTTACACTAGCAACTCCCTTCTCCTCTCCCCATCTTAACCCCTTGGTAAGCCAATTCAGCTCCACATTGTCCTCTCTTCAATTCCAGCCCCCATATCATATCACCCTTTACACCCTGCCAGTTCTTGCATCACTTGGCCCATCACCATTCCGATCGGGTCCAATGCAAATTTATGTTGCATAACTTCAACCGAGCTCTCACTGCTGCTCGGCAACCCTACCCGACTTACCTATCAATTCACTCTCCCACTCCCCACAGCAGCTCTTCCAAAACTTTTCATCCCTCCTCAAACTTCCCATGCCTCCTCACCCTCTCAGCTGAGAACCTTCCCTCATATTTTACACAAAAATCAAGGCCATTCACTGTTGAGTCCTCTCTACTTTTTTCTTCCTCATCTCTTATAATTCAGGTGTTTTCTGCTAATCTCTCATCCACTCCTGTCTCACATGATGACATGGTCCTTACTTCCTATCAGGGCTAACCCCTCAACTTGTTCAAGTGATCTCATTCTATCCTGTCTCCCCCAACAGATTGACTCCTCTGTCATCCTCACTTTCATTTATTTTCAATCTTTCTTTGTCTACAGGCTCATTCCCTGCTGCCTGCAAACATATCCATGTCTCCTCCATCCTGAAAAACCCCTCATTTGATCCTTCCATCCCCGCTAACAATTGACCTATATCTCTTCTGACCTTTGGAGTTAAATTCCTCAACAAGGCATCCACAATAGGTGCCTCTACTTTCTCTTCTCCCACTCTCTTCTGGTTGTTTAGTTGTTTCAGTCACATCAACTCTTGGGTTTTCTTGGCAGAGATACTAGAGTCGTCTGCCATTTCCTTCTTTGGCAGATGATGAAACTGAGGCAAACGGTGTTAAGTGACTTGCCCAGGGTCACAAAGCTAGTGTCTGAGGCCAGATTTCCCAGTGCTTTGTGCACTATGGCACCACCTACCTGTCCTAGCTGTCTTCTTAACCCCTCACAATTCTAGCTTCTGACCTTATCATTCCACCAAAATGTTCTTTCCAGAGTTATCAGTGATCTCTTAGTTGTCAAATCCAATGGCTTTTTCTCAATGCTCATTCTCCTTGACCTCTCTGCAGCCTTTGACACTACTGATCACTCTGCTCCTTGATATACCCTCTTCTCTCTAGATTTTCAGGACTCTCTCTCTCTCTCTCTCTTTCTCTCTCCTCCTCCTCCTCCTACTTCCTTGCTCCCTTTCCAGTCTTCTTACACCTTACTCTCCGCCATGTTCTCTTCAATCCAGTGGCACAGGCCTTCTGGCTTTTCCATAAACAAGACCCTCCATTTCTCTCCTCTAGGTATTCTCTCTGGCTGTCCCCCATGTCTGGAACACTCTCCATCCTCTGCTCCATCTCTTGACCTCCCTGGCTACCTTTAAGTCCCAACTAAAATCTCCCTTCTATAGGAAGTTTTTCCCAAACTCTCTTAATTCTGGTGCCTTCCTTCTGTTAATTATTTCCTATTTATCCTGCATATAACTTGTGTTGCATATATTTGTTTGCATGTTTTCTCCTTACAATCCTATTAGATTGTAAGCTCCTTGACAAGGGCAGGGTATTGTCTTTTTGCTAGTGTGTGCTTAATAAATGTTTACTGATTGATTGAACAAAAGTCCATCATAATGTAACTTTCGAATAGGTAAAATAGGTAAACAATGAGCTGGATCAGAACTAAGTAGGAAGAAAAGAGTAGGCTGCATAATATTTGGAAAACTGCAGCCTTTTCAAGGACCCCAAGTATGTCACTGCCACAAAAGCCTATCTCTTTAACACCTTTAATACCCTGGTGACATTTAATATCTTGGTGACATTATATGGCCATGAATCATGGTATGCCACAGTCTTAGAAGAATTGAAATGACAAGTAAACCAAAAGGGAAACAGAAACACTCCTAGTGGGCATACAGATTCCCAGTGATGACTTATTTATCTTAAAATGTAGTAAAATACATCAAGGTCAGAGGCAGCTAGATGGTACAATGGATAGAGTGGTAGGCATGAGGTCAGGAAGACTCATCTTCCTGAGTTCAAATCCAGCCTCAGACACTACTTGTATGACCCTGGGCAAGTCACTTAACCCTATTTACCTCAGTTTCCTCATCTGTAAAAATGAAATGGAGAAGGAAATGGCAAACTATTCCAGTATCTTTGCCAAGAAAGCCCCAAATGGGGTCACGAAGAGTCAGACACAACCTGAAAAGTGACTGAACAAGAACAGCATCAAGGTCAAGTATGACCAGAAAAGAAGTGGGTTGGTCATACAGTGAGAGAGATAACAGATGGGTGGCATGATTATGGCACAGGTACCACCAAAACAACAAAAATAACAATGACAGCAACAACCGAGGAAGGTCCACAGCCCATTGGGTGGCTTGTTAAGAGGACTGATAGAAAGATAGGGATGAGAATGCCACTGGATGAGACACCGTGGAAAGGTGGTGATCTGCACTGGTGGAGTAGCCATAATAATGAACCTATGAATCCAGCACAGCAACAAGTAACTCTTGGCTGGTGGGCAGACTTGGGCTGGGGAAGAATAAGTTGGGAAGTCATTGGCATAATTCCTACGATGTTCTTACAAGCTCTAAAGGCAAGCGGTAGAGTGTCCAATTAACAAGAGGCAAATCCGTTTAACCACCTCTGGGTTATTTGACAGATCACCACTCTGGACTTTCTTATGGCCATCTTGGGTAAACAATTGGCAGCTTACTAAAACACTGCTCCTCACCAGCTCCCTACTTGTACACTGAAACTAAACAGCAAAGAGAACATATAAGAGGCTTGGGAACACTGGAACAAAAAGCAGATTATCTGAAAAACTAGAATGAGTAGAACATAATAGGGTAAGAGCTCTGTACTCGCTGGTACCAGGGCCCTCGGGGTCCAGGTACCTGACGTTGAATGGGGAAGGGTGGCAGTGACTCTTAACCAAAGTACTGTCTCCTGGTTCCCAAATGAATCTCTCTTAAAGCTCTCTGTGTCATGGGAGGATGAGAGGAAGCCAATATGGTGGCATATGACCCCTGGCCTGGCTTCCACTTTGAAAGCTTCCCTCTGAACTCTAGATAACACTGCTGGGAAGATTAATATCTGTTTAGTCATTTCCCATTTTATTACCTGAAGACAAAGGGGAAAAAAAGACTATAAATAGATGTTTAACCACACAAATAATTTACATTACTGTCTTCTTTATGAGCATGAAATAATAAAATTAAATTAAATTAAGGCCAATAAGGCTTCAGTATGGTGGTTACTAGGCAAAAATGATATTTGCACTCTCTCTGGAAACCAAACTAAAATAAGAAAACTCATCAACTGGGTGTTGGGGGGTTCACTGTGGAAATTTTCTAGGTCAAATATTTCACTGAATTTTCAAGTGAAAATTGCATTAGGCTGCTTTTTCCTCCTGTAATTTCTTGGGTTATGAGGACCCATGGCAGAGAGTCATTCATTCAAGGGATGCTCCATGGTAGAGTTGTCCTTGCTGAAAGCACAGAGTAGAGAGCAAATAACACTCTCCCCCACTCCCCACAGTAAGGATCATGGACCACCGAGCCTGAGGACAGAACCCGGGGATAAAGAGAATGGGTAGAAACTGGGTAGAGAGAAATATGAAGCCACAGGGTTTGGAAAGAACCTGGAGAGTTAATCTGGTTCATTCCTTTTGTCATGAAGCAGGATGGAACTCCAAGCATCCCAGGCAGACGAGAATCTATCCTTCTTTGAAAAGAACTCCATGGAAGGAGGTGCCATAACCTCTCTTAGGAAGCATTTCAGGGGCTCACAATCTTCTTCGTCAGTCAATTCCTCCTAATATCTAACCTTATTCTTCTGGCTTGAGTTAATGTTAGTTATTATGATTATGACTTCATCTTGTTCTGCTATCAGTGAAATCAGAAAAGTTTATCATCTTATGAAAAAGGCTATGACCTTGTAGCCTTGAGAGGTTACTTATATTCTCTCTGGATCAAATTATACCAGTTCCTTTTATTTTTCCTAGAGGGTCCTACATCATCTCCAATGTTTTATTCTGAATTTAAACTGTGGAGCCAAGAAGTGACTAATATTCTAGAAAGACTTTGGGGCAGCTAGGGGGTGCAGTAGATAGGCCACTGTGCCTGGAGTGGGGAAGACCAAATCTGGCCTCAGACACTTACTAGCTGTGTGACCTTGGGCAACTCATGTAACCTTATTTGCCTCAGTTTCCTCATCTGCAAAATGATCTGGAGAAAAGAAAACCCCAAATGGAGTCACAAGGAGTTGGACACAACTGAACAATGGCAAAAACAATATATGATGGCCTCAAATCTCCCAATTACTATGTAACTGATAGTATAATTTTTATCTGATTTTATAGATAGAACAAAATTTTTACATTTTTATGTGATTTTATAGGGGATAGGGATAGGGACTTAATCTGTGATTTCACTCGTAAAAAAAGAACTCCTAGAAGACACACTATATCAATGCACATTGGTACCTTCTCTCTATCTTAGAATCTTAACAAGTTGTAGAATACTGGGATGTCAATGATTTGTCCAGTGGCACACAGCCAGCATGTGCCAGACTTGAATGCAGATCTACCTGGCTTCGAGTTAATTACCTATCCACCATGCCCCGCTATTTCTCATTAAGGTAAAATTTAAAGCCTAGGAAGAGAAAAAGATGCCTTAGTGGCTCAGAAATATCTCCTAGCTATTCAGGCTCCAGGTATGGTCAAGTCATCGTCCTCCAGAGAACCAGAAAGAAGTTAAGCTGACGCTAATATTCACAAAAAATGAAAACTCTGGGGAGGAACTGCACATACCACAAATCATTTATGTTCTTTATAACCGTTAAAGTGTTTCAACAGCTGTTTGTCATCTCAATGATCATTTATTAAATGTACTTTTCACAATCCCAGGATTCTAATGGAATTAAACCAAAACAAAGCAGCTCTTACTATCAAGGATCTTTAAAAAACCCCAAACTATAAAGACAGATGAGATCTGTATATGGTGGGGTGGAATGCGAAAGTGGAGAAGAGATTTTATTTATTTTTCCTGGAAACATAGAAGCTAAAGGAAAAGTAGACTTTATATCATATCATATCATATCATATCATATCATATCATATCATATCATATCATATCATATCTATTATATTTGCCAAGGGTGAATTTTGCATGAGAATTTGACCATACTTTAGGAAAACTGAAGTCTCTAATAATGGGTATCAAGCTAAACTGGTGATTTCTGAGTCTCAGAGTTCTGCCTGGGGTTCAGTGCTTCTTTGGAGTTTGTCTGAAAAGTTGTCTCTCAAAGCCCCAGGTATTCCAGTAGAAAACTCATAATCCCTCCACTGATGCAGGCTGCAGGCCCTCCATGGCTGCCCATCTTGATACACACCCTCCTTTGAGTTCCTGGTATGGGGACGCTTGGAGGCCTTCCTTTCCTGGCACCATAGAGCACTCAGTTTACCTACCCTGCATTCCTTATGCCCAGGTTTTCTGACGTATCTGTGATCTCCCCATTGAGCATGATTCTTGGCATCTCTCTTCTAGTTCATCATCTGCAGCTTTCTGAGCAGCCCTCCAGAGCTAAGGCTCTTCAATTACAATTACCCTCGCTGGACCGTCCTCCTGGGATATTGCATTGGGACTTCTTCCTTCATCTGCATTCCTGCCTATATAATTTATCGGTTGATCATCACTCCAGGGACATTCAAAGAGGTATCACTTCTCTTATGTTCTGGGAATGGATGGTCAGGAAGGAAACAGTCCTTATGCCATTGTCTTTTTAAGGGAAATGGGCAAATGACCTTAAATTCACCAGGAAGGATTGAACAGTATGTGTTGCTATTCCATTAAAATGTTTTTTAAAATCTTGTTAAGCCTAACTACTAAATTCAGGGCACCCTAGTTCAATCTAGTGATTTGGGGACAGAGTAGAAAATCTCTTTTGGCCTATCTACAGGGTCCCAAATTAATCAGATCGCTTCCCTACTTTCAGATTGGAATTTAGGAGGGACACTTGATCTGGGACATCCAAAGTATAATGACACAAAAATTCCGGTTTACACATAACCAAGTTGGGGGATGGCCCAGCCTCCTTCCCTCTCCCAACAAAGAAGCACAATCATCTTCCCAGATCACAGAGGGTAACAGTATCTGAGCCAAGATTGTGGAAGCTACAGTTATCCTTCACCCAGATGCAAATCAGTAACTCACATAACCAACTCCATTCAGAGGATCATCCCTCAGGGATGCGGCTGTGTTGGCCAAGGGCTTAGGAAAAGAGAGGTGATTTCCAATACATTGTTACTGTTCAGAGAACAGTGAATTAATAGTGTGATTCATTTAGGATATCTATTGTTGGCAAGGTCTGCTAGTGGGTAGCTGTAGTAGGTAGAACACTAAGGGACTGAGAAAAAGGTCGTGGGTTAGTACCCTGTAGGAATCAGTTAATATCAGTCTATTCCTTGGACATACTCTGAGCCTTTAATATAATTAGTCATCTGTCTTGAAGGTGAATGCCCTTGCTGGTTACCAGTATGGTGCCAGATAATACTTGCAGAATAGACCAGCATAAATCAAATTACCACTAGCCCCGTATGCTTTAATATAAATATAATATAAAAACTATCCTAAAAAGGCCTTTCATCCTTCACCATTGATATAGCTACTATGTTATTTAATTCATTATTTAATAATTCATTCCCTTCAATAGTGACTACCATAATGATTCTGATGGAAAAAAACTCTGAAACCTCTAGTTAAACCACCAAAAGTTCTGATAGGAGGCTTGCCTTCATCTGTGTGACTTTGGGTATGTTATTTAAACCTTTTGAGTCTCAGTTTTCTAATCTATAAAATGGGGATAACATTTGCTCTCCCTACCTCACAGAGCTGTTGAGGATCATGTCAGGATTTGTATCAAGAATTTCACAAACCTTATAGCACTATATAAATGTCAGCTATAGCATCATCATCATCATTGTTATTTGTGAAGGCCAGTGCATTAAAGTCAGTGACGTATTCAAGAGCCAAAGTGAATTAGAACAGAGAAGAATGGACAGAACCAAAATGAATTAAAGTTCATAGGATTATAGATTTAGAACTTGTCTCCAAGGGGCCCTGGAGGTCAGCCAGTAAAATGTAAGCCCTTGAGGGCAAGGACTGTCTCATTTGTGTATTTTTATCATCAGTGCCCAGCACAGAATCCACACTTAATAAATGCTTGTTGAATGATATAATTCTGGTCCAACTCCTTCATTTTACAGATGAGGAAACTGAGGTCCCTAGTGGCTTGTCCCAGGTTACACAGATAGTAAGTGGCAGAGCAAGGTCAGACTCCAAATGCAGTATTCTTTCTACTGAACCATACCACCACCTCCTGTCCTCACAGAGCTTACAGTATAGTAGGGGAGAATGACATATACAAGGCGATTACAATGTAAAATACAGCATGTGCTTGGCGGTTTAGATCGCATATTAGAGCAAAAATTCTTTCCTGAACAAAAGAGATGCACTAAAAGGTAATCCTTTGGCTATCCAGTGTCATGGCTTAACTCCTTTCACGTATTCCTAATTGTCAAGAACATTGGTAAGATTTCTTCCCCCTCCACTTACATTAGGGATATAAGAAATATCACACTGGTTAAGCCAATGGGATCTTGGACCCACTCATGAGTAGCATCAAGGTGTCATCCATAAATGTAAATGTTTTTCAAACCCCTGGGGTTTGTTTGTTTTTCGCATGTATGTGGTAACAACTAGAGGCAAATTCTACAATGTGATAAGAATAGTGCTTCTGGAGGGCAATCATCATCTGTGACAAATGTTCCAGAGAGAGAATATCTATCTTATAGAGAGAAACAAGTGACCAGATTTTACCTGAGAAAATGTATCCTTTTGGTAGGGCAGTTAGGTAGCACAGTGGATAGGGTGCTGGGTGTGGAGTCAGGGACTCATCTTCATGAGTCTATATCCAGCCTCAGACACTTACTAGCTATGGGACCTTGGGCAAATCACTTAACATGGTTTGCCTCAGTTCCTCATCTATAAAATGAGCTGGAGAAGGAAATGGCAAGCTACTCTAGTACTTTTGCCAAGAAAACCCCAAATGGGGTCACAAAGAGTTAGACATGACTAGAACGACTGAACGACAAAAATCCCTCGGGTAATACTTGTTAACATAGACTTTATGACAATATCTTTTGGATTTTACCTTTTAAAAGCATTTGACCTTTGCATGTTAATTCTTGGGCAAATTATTTGTGTAGTATCTATTATTAGATATCAATCAGTTATTATTTTCTTAGTGAAAACAAAATTTCAGAGATTTTTCCATCAGAATCATTATGGTAGTCACTACTGAAGGGAATGAATAATTAAATAATGAATTAAATAACATAGTAGCTATATCATTGGTGAAGGATGAAAGGCCTTTTTAGGATAGTTTTTATATTTATATTAAAGCATATGGGGCTAGTGGTAATCTGATGACTGAAGTTAAACATCTGGAAACATTTTCACTTGGGTGACTGGGAGCATGGTGATGGTGTGGACAGAAAATGGGAACTTGCAAGAGAGATTTTTTTCTGCAGAGGGTGAGGGAATATGATAGTATTAATGCAGGTAAAAACCTTTCTAATATTGAGAGCTAGCTAAAAGTGTAAGAGGCTACCTCAGCAGATAGGGCCTCCTCACCAGAGGTCTCCAATCCAAGGCTGATGACCACTTGTTATATGGGCAGCTAGGTGATGCAGTAGATAGAACTGGAGTCAGAAAGATGAGAGTTCAAATTCAACCTCAGATACTTCCTGTGTGACACCGAGCAAGTCACTTATTTCCCTCAGTTTCCTTAAATGTAAAATGAAGATAATTCCTCCTACCTTAGAGGGTTGTTGTGAGGATCAAGTGAGATATTTGTAAAGTGCTTAGCACACAGTAAACACTTAATAAATGCTTACTCTCTCCCTCCCCAATTGTCAATGATGTTGTAGAGAGGATTCTTGGGTATGGGTGGAACGAGGTGGCCCTTGAAGTCATAGACCACAGGTCTAGAAGGGACTTTAAGACCACTTCTAGCCCTACTTCCTTATAGATGGGAAAAATGATGACTGAAGAAGAAACTCGCCTAAGCTCATGAAGCTTAGTGGCAGAGTTGAATTCTGAACCCAAGCCATCTGACTCCAAATTTGGAAAATGACACTGAAAAGACTTTGGCAATCCAACGGGGGCTACTGCAACAGGGCTGAATGCTGGGTGTTTGGGGAGTAAAAGGAGGGTGTGATACAGATCATAACCTCTCCCTACTTCATAACTTAATCTAGGATTGCCTTAGCCCCTACACACATGCCTTAGTAGCCACCTCTTCTCATATATATATACCACTGTACCACTTAAGACCAGTTAGAGTGTTTGGTTACCAGCTTTAAATGAACAAGAGGCATGTCTGTTTACAAACACTTCTAGATTCAGATCTTTAACCAAAGGAAAAACTGGATGCCACCGGGCACCTATTAAGGAATCCCCTGCTTCTGCTGAGGCACAGGCCCTAGGAGCTGGTTAGCTCAGAGTGCAAGGTTTTAACCTCAGCCAGCCACTGTACTCTGTTTTTGGACTTCCTCTGTGTGATCTAGGAACATAATACTAGACATTTGAATCACAAAGAACACAATTTTATGAACTGTATTTACTGAGGATGGAGCTTTTCCAGCTCCCTAGGGTATTGCCTCTAAAAGGAAGAAAAACTCATAGGAACTTTAGATGGGGAGGACCAAGCTGGCACAGAATTGTCCTGAATCTTGCACTGGTTAGCGCACTCAATGTTCACAGGAAGGTGGGTGGTAAGAAATCATCATACATTCTGCATGTTTTTCCAATCCAAAAAGTAGACAAGGACACATAACAGAGGTTGTCTAAATAAATGTTTATTGACTAAAATCGATGCAATGAAAAATGCTTTCAGATTTAGCTCTGTCTACCAGAGATGCACACTCTCTTGGTCAAGGATGATTTTACTTAAGTAGTTTTATTAAGCCCATTGTTTTTTTTCTCTCCTGTGCACAGATGCTGAGCTTAAAGACTGGTTTTTTCTATTTTCCATTCACAGACCCAAGTATGGTTTAAATCAGTCCTTACAGTTCCAGTGGACCTCTTAGCTGCTGTTAGGGTGGCGGGTCTTCACATTTTCTCTGTGATGACTACATGAGCATGAGGTGAATTAGAGGCATTGGAATTAGGATTTGAAGTGATTCAAACCCTCTGACTTTCATTTTCATTGCTGTAGAAGTTACTTATTTGGAACTTCTTCTGCATTTGAACTAAAGCATTTTATTATCTCATCTTGACTTTCCTTATTATTATACTTACCTCTATTGCTTATTTCCTTATGTTTGGGGGTCGGTCCCACGTGCTATCTCGTTTTTTGTTGTTGTTGTTGTTGCAATTGGGGTTAAGTGACTTGCCCAGGGTCACACAGCTAGTAAGTGCCAAGTGTTTGGTCTGAGGCCGAATTTGAACTCAGGTCTTCCTCACTTCAGGACTGGTGCTCTATCCACTGCGCCACCTAGCTGACCCCCCGAGTGCTATCTTAACCCTGCTTGGGAGATGGCTTCTTTGCCACTATGGAACACTGGTGACTCCAAAACCATAAACTAGAAATTCCTCTCAAACTGCAAAGAATATCACAGCTTCCTTGGGGTTTAAGTGCCATTTATTTTTTATTTAATTTTTTTACTAATTTATTTTGAGTTATCAACAATCACTTCCATAAGCTTACTCAAAAGCTTTAAATTTTTCTCTGCCTCCCTCCCCAACATGGCGTGCAATCTGATATAGGCTCTACATATACATTCCTGTTAAACATATTTTCACATTAGTGGTGTTGTAAGGAAGAATTAGAACCAATAGGAGGAACCACAAGAAAGAGGAAACAAAACGAAATAGAAGGAAAAAAAAGAGCAAATGGTATGCTTCAATCTGCATTCAAACTCCACAGTTCTTTCTTGGGATGTGGATAGCATTTTCCATCATGAGACTTTTGGAGATATCTTAAATCCTTGCACTGCTGAGAAGGGCTAAGTCTATCAAAGTTAGTCATAGTGCAACATGGCTGTTACTGTGTACAACGTTCTCCTGGTTCTGCTCACTTCAGTCAGTATCAGTCTATACAAGACTTTCCAGGTTTTTGTGAAGTCAGCCTGTTCCTCATTTCTTATAGCACAATGGTATTCCATTACATTCATGTACCACAACTTGTTCAGCCATTCCCTAACTGATGGGCATCCCCTCAATTTCCAATTCTTTGCCACCACAAAAAGAGCTGGTATAAATATTTTTGTACATGTGGGTCCTTTTCCCATTTTTATGATCTCTTTGGGATATAGCCCTAAAAGTACTATTGCTGGGTCAAAGAGTATGCATATTTTTATAGTCCTTTGGGCAGAGTTCCAAATTGTTCTCCAAAATGGTTGGATCATTTCACAACTCCACCAACAACACACTAGTGTTCCAATTTTACCACATCTTCTCCAAAATTTATCATTTTCCTGTTTGTCACGTTGGCCAGTCTGATAGGTGCGATGTGGTAACTCAGAGTTGTTTTGATTTGCATTTCTCTAATCAATAGTGATTTAGTGCATTTTTTCATATAACTATAGATGGCTTTAATTTCTTCATCTGAGAACTGACTGTTCATATCCTTTGACCATTTATCAATTGAGGAATGACTTGTATTCTTATAAATTTGACTTAGTTCTCTATATATTTTAGAAATGAGATCTTATGTGCCATTTAAAAGAGTTCTATCAGAACCAGGAGAATGTTGCATATAGTAACAACAGTATGGTTTGATGAAGAACTGTGAATGACTTACTTATTCTCCACAATACAATGATCCAAGACAATCTCAAAGGACTAATGATGAAGCATACTATCTCCCTCCAGAGAAAGAATTGTTATTGATTGAATACAGACTGAAGCATCCTATTTTTCACTTATTCTTTTTTTTGAGTCTTTTTGTACAAAATTAATAATATAGAAATGTTTTACATAATTGCACATGTATAACCTATATCTGATTGCTTATTGTCTCAAGGAGTGGGGAGAGGAGGGAGGGAAGGATAGAATTTGGAACTCGAAACTTTAAATAAAATATTTAAAAATTGGGAAAAAAATTAAAATGGCACCAATAGGTTTGCTCGATGCAGGGTTGCCACAAACTTACAATTTATAAAAAAAAATACAAAATCTGTGGAGTGCAATAAAACTTTAAAAAAAAGAGAGTCTATTCTTATTTTAATACTGTGATGGTTTGTTACATTAAAAGGCTTTTAAAAAACCTGTACGTTTTCTTCTTAACAGCGTATTCTTAAAAGTATCACTCCAGAAACACCTACAGAGATTCCCTTTGGAGATCTTCGCTTGAATGCTGTGTAGCAAGTGATGGACAAGAGGAAAAAACTTCCCTATCAACTCCCACCCTCTACTTGTTGCCCCTTCTCCCCTCCAAGTGAACTGAGTTTTCAGCTGAGCCAAGGAAAGAGAGGACATTCCCCACAGAGGCCCAGCTTCAAAAAACACTGGTGCCTAGAATCTCATGATCTCCAGCCTTCAGATCCACCTCCTTCCATGAAATTAGCTCGGCACTTGTCAAACTCAACTCAGTAACCATAGCTCAACTGGTTCTTTGGGGATGGGGGGGAGGGGGTTTGTTGTATGTATGTGACTGCTACCGTAGGAATGGGTGAAAGGGATAACAGAAAGCACGAGTGGACAAATAGCGTCAGTTAGGATTACATTCAGTCTTGAGTCTGTGTGAGCGTCTTCTCAGTGTGATTTATATTGGACCATATTATGTTTGCTCCTAAGGGTTTCACTGTCAGATGAGTCTATAAACTGTGTAGGACAACACAGAAATTGTTCTGATAGCCATATACACAAATTCTCTGAGTAACACAGAATCTGTAGCTGGAAACTAATGGAACTCTCTAATCCTTCTGCGCTGTGAGTCTTGCAGAGGAAGATGTAGGAAGCTAACCTGAAAGGTGCTATGTGTGTATGTGTGAGTAGGTGTGTGTGTGCCTGTGCGCTGCTATTACAGTGTACACACGGCTGTCTCCTTTCTATTCCTCTAAAGCTTTCTGGCACTTTACAAACCACACATCATCCTCGTTTTTTCTTATGTTAATAGATTTTACACACGCAGGCATTTGCAGATATGCATTCATTGCTTCAAATCTATAGGTCCTGTATTCATCCTTCTTTTCTTGTGCTTCTGATGCCCCTTCTTGGTGTATGTGCACACAGCATACCCCATACACACCCACAAACAACACCCCACCCATCCACCTTCCTCACCTTGGCCAGCCTGCGAGGACATTAATATTCTGCATCCTTGCCCTCTCCCTGTCTTTTTCTACAACGCCATCATGATGACATTCTGGCTCATTTACTCTTGTTTTGACACCATTCAAGTTATGTGAACCGTTCTGAAGGTAGATGCCAGAACCTATCCCTTCAGCTCTACTTACTGTTCTCAAAGTATTAGGAATAAAAGGAGGAATCCCATGAGCACATCCCACTCTTTACCTTATATTCTGCATCCTTGCCCTCTCTCTGTCTTTTTCTACGATGCTGTCATGATGACATTCTGGCTCATTTACTCTTGTTTTGACACCATTTAAGTTATGTGAACCGTTCTGAAGGTAGATGCCAGAACCTTTCCCTTCAGCTCTACTTACTGTTCTCAAAGTATTAGGAATAAAAGGAGGAATCCCATGAGTACATCCCACTCTTTACCTTACTATACTTCTTGGAGGTAATGCTGAAAACAAAGAAACGGGCTAGAATTTTGCCTGAGGTGCAATAAAGTCTAGTTCTGGCCCAGGTGCTCACCCCTGAACTGGCCTCCCTCTTCTATTCACCCTATATTTTCCTGTCTTTTCTCTATTTTTTTTTTGTTGTTGTTGTCTCATCCTGATTTTCCCTAATCGTCCTTCATTTCCTACTGTTGAAAGGAAAGAAGGCCTCAGGCACAAGCTGTCCAAATGGCTTTACAATCATAAAATATAGAAGAAAAATCCCACTTGTAATCAGGTTCTTTTCATTCTCAAGGGCTTGTTATCATTAAGTAGGGCATCTTTCAACCTGTCTGTAATTGCCAAATCATCTTTGAGAACAACAGGAAATTCACCTGATGAGTCCTAGGCAGTTACTCGAACAGCAAAGAGGTCTGTATTTCAGCTGTTTCGCTTATAACCCAATTTGGCGATACCTGCCTTGGCTCAAATGGAAGCGTAACACAAACTCTGCCTTCGTGACTGCCTGCCCACATCATAGTCGAGCAGTAGATGAGTGAAGAGGTCAACACACTTCAAAATACATTTTAAAAGTGTGAGAGACAGAATATTGTGATGCCTTCTTAAACAGTCCTCTGGAACGCTATCTGACGTGTGCATCAGAAAGACCAGAGTCTGTGTATGAAGGGACATGTGCATGAGTGCACAAGCATGCGTGCATACACACATGAAGGTAGATCTTGGTTTCTGAATGCGTATTTGTCAGGAATATAACATTAAAGAGGAGTGGTACAGTCTAGCAGAGTCAATAGACAAGAGTAGAGGTGAAGTCACAGTATTTTCTCTGGACAAGGGCAAAAAACCCCCAAATAAACCCTAGTCACATCAAGCTTTTGGTGAGGAAAATGTTTTACTGAATCATGAGAACTGATAAATTCACCATTGTGATGATCTTTTCCTCCATACTTCAGGCCTTTCTAGATGACTCATGGGAAACGGCTTTCTATTCTGGGATGGTAACTTATGAATAGTTTCTAGCTATGAACTGCTTAGCGGAATTTTGCATTAGTAAGTATAATAGTAATGTAAAACAAAGCGTCTTATAGGGAACCCAAATCTAACATAGCCTTTAAGTAAAGGCAAATAAAAAAACACTATTATCTGAACTAGAAAAGTTCAGATTTTTTGTTTACTGTTAAATCTTGCAATAGCCCCTAAACATAGACACCCTAGCTTTACCATTAGAAAAACTCTGCCAGATCCCTGGTCAGTAAAATACTTGCCCAAACGCGTGAACTGGATTATAGGATTGTCATTGCTTGGATGGCTGGGAGTCACTCTTCCTTCTACTCATCTTCTAAGCCTGGTTCCACTCACTTCAGAACTTGACTAAGTGAAAGACATTTTCCTGCTCAAATACTCCTCCAAAAAAAATCTCTCCACTAGCTTCATGATTCAGTATTAGAAGAATGGCTTAAAGAAGGATTTCTGCTTTTTTTCTTAGCAAAGGACTGAATGAGTGCATTGCACCCACGCCAGGATAAGGATTTAGAGTTCACCCACTGCGGTACAATAAACCCTAGAGCTAAGCAGAGGCTTAACTGTGGCATAGTTAATGTACACACAACTTGGTAATGCTTGCTAACGCTGACTATTTGATGTTGAAACCCAAACTGCTGCTGGCTGCTTTCCTAACTCTCCTCTTTACCTATAAATCAACGAGTGTGGTTGGAGGTATTGTTGTTGTTTAGAATTGCCTCCTGAATTGTCCAGGAAGACTACGGGTATTGAGGGTGCAGGGGGTGGGGTTAGGAGAGTAGGGAAGGGATTGCAGCTGGTTCAGAAGAAAACTTTATAATAACTGCATGTCCTAACAAGAGAAGTAAAAGCAAAATCACCCCAAGTAACAAGTTGTGTATTCTTAAGCATCATGGAGCTCACAAATTATGTCGTAAGTGCTTTAGAATGGGGTTTGCCTTCTGGAAAGGCATCCTTCAGGTTCCTTCCAATTGTTAGGAAATAAAATTTATGAATCCAAATAAGGGGAAAAAGGAAGACTGTTTGGGGTGTACTTCTGCCTCATACACCATATTCCTTGAACTCCACTGGAAAACTCCAGCCTTTCCTTTTAGTCTCCCCATTTGTACCTAAGATTCAATGATGTATTTGATTAAAAATTCTTTATATTACATTTGCTCCTCTGGGAAGAATCCTCCAAATTCCCAAGTCTCATAATCTCACCATTGCAGCTATGGTATGGGCTTCTTCCTTTATTGCTAATTTGGGTTCCCAGAGTTTAAAGATAATGAAACAATCTGGCATCTCATAAAGTTCAGCCACACTCCATTAGGAGCTGCTAAAAACCAGTGACTTCATAAGGAGTTCATCTCTTTGCTCCTCTTGGGATCTGAAGGTTTCTAAGGGATGGTGGGCTTGGAAACTTCAGTTTTCCTTAAGTGATTAAACAAACCACTTCCACCATTTGGTTCAGCAGACACCTACTCTGATGGAGAAGGAAAACACTTAAAGAGGGAGTCCTAAGTACTTTCCACACTTAGTTTTGTAAGTTTGGAGTCTATTCAGTCAACGGTCTCTCCTTTCAGGTCTTCCAGGGTTGAGTTGTTCTATGATATTCAGACTTCTGACAGAAAAGTCCTTCCTTGGAAAATTACTCAAGGTATTATCCCCAATTAAGACATCTTCTAACCCTAAATAGCACAGTCTAAAGTTAAGTTGCCTTACATGTACTGTGCAAGTATTAAAAGTCATCCAAATACGTATTTCTGGATGGCCAACTTCCATTTGGCAAAAAGTCAGTAGGCTTTTTGCCTGACATAAGGGAAGAAATCAGGCTGTTTAAATTCAGAAGAGTATAGGATGGTCAAATTGTCTAAAGGGCATGAGAATAGAATAAATAACAACTCAAAGACCCTTCCAGGCCTCTGATTCTGTGCTTTAGGATTCCAACCATTATTGTGACTTTAGTTGCAGTCATCTGTAATTGCCCACTGTCTACAAGATTACCTGTGGGTAATAGCATCCCAAGGTTCCCCCCTCTTCTTGTTAGTTCTGAATTTGAATACTGTCTGAGAGCAGGAACTGCAGATTTACATATAAAGCCATTTTTCTCCCAAGTAAACTGACATTTCACAGACCTAAAACAGAATCACAAGGCAGCATGGCCTCAAGTCTACTTTCAATATCAGGAAAGTTTGAGATTGACAATCATCTAGGCATTTAGTCATAGGCTGCCTTCCATGAGAAGAAAACCTACTGTGCCACAGTGCTCCTAACAAGGAGCATTTCAGGACTTAGCAAATAAAGCCAGATATTGACTTTTTGACCCAAATGCTAATACTTTAATGCCAAGAGCTAATAATACTAACAATTATTCAAAATACACAATACCATGCCTTTGTTCAAACTCTAAACAGAAGTGTAGCCCAGTTTAAGAAAACCTAATATACATATATTCATGTTCACAACAGAGATCTAGTAGGGTCTGAACATTTTCTTTTCAAAAAGATTCACCCTACATAGATTCTTCTAAATTATGACCTCTTTAACTCACTGAAAATGTTTTGAACTATTAATTATTTTTCAGAAACTCTTCTATTGTGTAAAGCAAGTAACCTGTGAGGTTCTTCAAACTTGGAATATTACATTTAGGAAAACAATAGAAAGGTTTCTCCCCCCCTCCCCCCAAAAAAAAACCCTTTCACCTTTTTCTTCTTCCTACCACTGACTAAGCCTGAGAAATGTTTTGAACGGGGGTCACTAAGAAACTTCCAAAGTGAAGGGCATGTTTATTTTGAAGCTGTAGTAGCTGAATAAGCCTGGAGTTTTAGTTGTACAAACTCTGAACATCTCCCCCCATATCATGTATATGGTGCACCTGTATTAATTTAAGCAGCCATTTAGTTATAAATGTTCCAAGATAGATCATAAGTCAACAGTATGTGCCTTGTTCTGTTAACTGTAATTGTAATAAATTTAAGATCATAATAAATGAACAGGTTTCTGTCTTCTATCTTCCATTAAGATTTAGCTCTTTCAGCCCAAGCAAAAAATTTCATTAACTTCACTGGGCCACAATCTACCATCTAAAATCTACTTTCCTTAAAACACAAATCTCATAACATTCATAAATACAAATTCAGAGTTAAAAAACCTCAACTGGGAATATTTCATTTCAACAAATATTAATAATGGATTATAGTATTTTTGTACATGTCTTATCTCCTCTACTAGATTATAAACTTCTTACGGGCAGGGATGTATCTTACTCATTTTCAGATCCCTCTCAGAGCCTAAGCACACAGGACCATATACGCAGACTTGGAAGATATCTCTGAGTCTATTCCAACACCCTCATTTTACATGTGAGGAAACTGGCCTAGAAAAGGTTAAATGACATGCCCTAGGTCACACAGGCAGTTAAAAGTCCCAGGTAGGATTAGAACTCAGGTTCTTAGTCTCCACAGTTGGGCTCTGTTCACTGTGACAAATGCTCCACAGATTTCGGATAAACAAACATTAGAATTATATTTAATATCTTCCAAGGACACATAGCTTCTATTTTTTTTTAATTCAAAGGGGAAATGCTACTAGGAAATCCAGGGGATTCAGAGGTCAAGCACTACATTTGCATACAATACATGCCTTCAGAGATTGATATGCATTCTTTTAAAACAATGAGGTTGACATTTTTCTCAAAAACATAAAACTATCACCCATTATTAATGTACAGGCCTTGTATATCATTGTTTAGTAGAGGCTTGGGAAATTCAAAATGCGATTCAACTTGGTTCTGGAATATGTTTAACTGAAAAAAAAGTGTTTCATTTTTATTTCTAAGAGTAGGCACGTTATCTAGAGGACTGTGTACAGTAATAAACCGGCACATTTATTCAAAGATACTGAAGAACTGTGAAGACACCATCCCTGTCCTCATGAGGCTTACAATCTGATAGCAGTGCTACATCACTCAAGACTTCTAACCATTCTCTGGAATAGGTTACTTAGGAGCTAATCTTGTCAGGTAACCCCTCCTCATCAAGTTCAATCATATGTCAGAAAGTACTGAATTCAAGGCTAAAAGTACAACTCATAGGCTGGGTTTTCATGGCACCTGGGGCTTTTCTCAGCTGCTGCTGCTGTTTTCTCTACAGCAGAAAGCCCACATCCTAGTGAAAGGGCTTTAACTGGAGCTATTCAAAAGCAAATGACCCAGCTAACATTGCAAGTGTTTTACAAGGAGTTAAGAAACTTTAGAAGACTCAGAGGGAACATACTCCAGTTCTAGGACTTCTCCCTCTCTGCCTGCATCGACAAGTCATCAAACACTGATTGAACATATGGACTTCGATGGCTCACTAGTCATCAGTTAATTCATCCAAGTGAGGCAGGGAGGAGTCAAGGTTTAGGCAAAGCATCTTTCACCCAGGGAGGGGCAATGATCCATAGAAAGCAATCCCAGAGAACGGCTCCCCTTTTAGTGAGCCAATCAAGTCACTTTTCATCACCTTTCATCAAGGTACAGTTTTTTTGAATACACAGGCCTTATAATCTAGAAATGTTCTTGATGAAGTGAAAAGATGAGCCGGTTCTGAAAGAACTGGGGTTTTTTTCTGACTTTTTTTGCCAAGGACTTAAAGCTACTAGTGACTTTTCACAGTCTGGCCTAGGCTTTTTTGATACAAAAATAACTGAAAATATCTCCAAACTCCAAGTGGATGGAAGAGATGATGCTGGGAGTGTGAAGGTGAGTGTTTGCCTCAGGGAGAAGGCTGAACTTGTTAAGAAAGGTTTCTACGAATTGTAGCCTTAGAAGGCCAAGATTTCAAGTGCTCATTTCTCAAACAAGATAGTATTAATCAAAGGAATGTACTCAAAGAGCCATAAGGGAAAAGGGCTGGGGGAAGGGGGGGGGTGGAAAGGGGAAGAGATACTTTAATAACATTTTAATCAAAATTAGAGTACAATTTCTTTAACATTAACATAGTACTTTACAAAGATTTCACTTCATTGGCCCTTTATCACAACCTTGTGTGGTGTACAGACATGAGAAGTTACTCACGCAAAATCACACCATTAATAAGTGGCAAAGCTGAAGCCCCGACCCAACTCTTCTGCTTGTCCAGCCCCTGGTCTATTCTGTCATGCGGCTCTCACTTGTCTTATGGCCATACCCATTATATGGAGAAAAGGAATAAGCTCATTTTGCCTGTCCTCTATGAACTACTTTGAGTTCTGGTTGGGGTGGGGTCTGCTGTGTGTGCCTGACCTGTAATGTGTAGACAGTGGCTTTCTCACATTCCATTCAGCAGTCTTGGTTAGAGCAAAAGAGTAAAGGACATCTGGCCAAGAGCCGGGGTTGACCCAGCTAGCTTTTTAACATTACCCCCCCCCACCCCGAATTTCTCACTTGTTTGATAATGTGACATCAGCTGTTATTGTTCCTGTCACTTTTTCCTTTCTGGTGTTAGAAGTATAATAAAGTAATCCATGGATGCTGGAGCTAATCCTTAATACACATTGGTTTTCATTAAAAGTCAACATTCTTATCAAACCAAGTTTACCTTAGTGAAAAACACACACACAAAGGGAAATATAGCAACATTTCATGATAAATATCGTGACACAGAAGAATGACAACTTTAATGAAAATGACTACCAGAGAACTTTCCCATGGCACGTTAACACTATTTTTAGAGCAGAAAGTAGGACTTTCCAAGAGAGACTCCCTGGCCTTTGGTTAGTTTCATTTTGGCCAAATGTTTCCATCCTTTCCTGCTCTGGGTGCACTGGGCAGAGCATATCTTGAGACAGGCTATTCAGGGCTGGCCCCATCTTCTATTTGCACAGAGGGTATACCATTTCCTGATGCTGCCTCTTAGCCTCCTCAGGTTCTGAGACTTCAGACTACAGGTGCACTAGCCCCTGAGCCTTCCCTCTCCAGCTGGGCACAGCGTGCCCCATGAGGAAAGGGTGCAAGGGGCCAGGATGAGTATCTCCCATCCGCCCAAAGCAGCTACTTTCAGCCATCCTCCACCCCGCTCCTGCCAGCCCAATCTCCCAACTGAGATGTGGAGAGTCGCCAGTGCAAAGAGGAGCAACCCATCCCTTGACTCCAGGCCTTCTGTCTCATGCTACTCATGTCCTTGAGGGTAGAGGTGAGATGCTCTCCACTCAATACACATTCTCCCATCTGGTCATACCCCTTCACATCCCAGTGATGCTGAACTCTGTAGATCACCCAAACCCCGCTTCTTACCCCTGTCACCCAATTCTTTGTTCCCATCTCCCTCAACCTTCCTACTCCAAAGTTTCAGCCCAACTTCATCCAGCCCTTCCACTGTGCCCTCTGGAATGCCTGTTCCATTAGACAACAAGCTTCCCTTCATCTTAAATCTAGTCCTCTCCCAATCTTTTTATCTGCTAGCTCTTACTGAAACCGGGCTCCCCAGTGATGACACAGCCTCCCTGGCTACCCTTTCCAGTACTGGCTGCAATTTCACTCATTGTCTTTGGGGCTGAGGCTAAGGCAGAGGAGTTAGAATACTCTTTGTTCCCCATTGCTGCTTCCAAGTTCTCCCTCTTCTTCTGTCACTCAGTAAGCTTTCTTTTTCATGATAAACATGCCTGACACCCAATCAAAGTCTTGGTAGCTACTGTCTACAGATCCCTCCCCAGCCTATACCGACCCGGGCTTTCCCCTTCCTTCCTCAATGAGTTTAACACTTGCCTCATAAATTTTCTCTCCTCCCCAATTCCTGCCTTCATACTAGGGAACTTTGACATACGTATTGATTCTCCCTCAAATACTCTAATCATTCAGTTCCTCAACCTACTCACCTCTCATGAGCTACTTCTCCACTCCATATCAACCACACACAGAGATGGTTATACCCTTGATCTTGCCATCAACTACAAATGTACCACCTCCATGTTTAAGAATTCCAAAATCCCTTTATCCAACTATAATCTATTAGCTTTTTACCTTTCCCTCTGCCTACCCTTACATAACCCTACATTTCATCCTATCCATGACCTCCAATCCCTTGACTCCTTAATTCACTCCCAAGTCCATCTCCCCTGCTACTAGCCACTGTCTCCTCTTCTCCCCATCTTGACTCCTTGGTGAATGAGTTCAACTCTACACTGTCCTCCACTCTTGAACCTCTAGGCCCCTTATATCACTGATTACATCCAGCCAAGCCTCAGCCTTGGATCATTCCTTCCATTTCCTGCCTTTGCTCCCACGCACATGCTACTAAATGAAAGTGTAGAAAATCTCTCAACCATTATGACTAGGTCCACTACCAATTTATGTTACACAACTCAACTGGGCTCTCACTGCTGCTGAGCAATCCTACTATACTTCCCATATCAACTCACTCCCTCACTTCCCACAGCAGCTATTCCAAACTTTTTCATCCTTCCTTAAAATTTCCCATGGCTTCCTCTCTCATCCTCTCAGCTGAGAACTTTGCCTCACATTTTACAGAAAAAACTGAGGCCATTCTCTGTGAGCTCCCTTTTCCTCATCTATCACTCAGGTGTCTTTTACCATTTTCTCTTCATCTTCGTCTCACACAGTGGAATGATCTTGCTCCTTACCAAGGCTACCCCTCTGCTTATTGAAGCAATCCCTTTCCACCCTGTCTACTGTATCATATTGCCCCCTATCATCCCCACTTTGACTTATTGTCAATCTCTCCCTCTCTTCTGGTTCATTTCCTACCATCTACAAACATGCTCATGTCTTCCCTACTCTGAAAAAACTCCCACTTGATCCTTTCGTCATTGCTAACTATCACCCTATTTTTCTTCTACCCTTTCTACTAAACTTCTCAAAAAGGGCTGTCTACAGAAAAGGAAAATGACCAATGTTGGAGATATGGGAAAAATGAGACATTAATGCACCACTGGTGGAGTTGTGAACTTATTCAACCATTATGCAGAGCAATTTGGAACTATACCCAAAGGGCTATAAAACCATACATACATA